TTAAGCATGTGTATATGAGTTGAGAACATGAAAGGGGATGAAAGATGAAGCATTAGCGTTGATTTGAGTAGATTTTCGGGTTTAAAAATGAATTCTGGGCTATGTCCATCGCTGCACATTCAATGTGCACCGATGCATCAAGGGTAAATCTCTAGAAATTTTTCAGTGTGTATCGATGCACCTCTTAAAAATGGAAATATCGAATGCAATTAATGCATCGATGCACATGTTAAGGGATGCATCGATACACGGTAGGATGTATCAATGCACTTCAAGTGGAAATTGAAATAAACCTTTCTTTTGGTCTAAGAAATAATAGATTAGCTTATATCAATTGAATACTGATATGGATCAATGTATGATTATATAGATATTGAGCACGAACAAGTTCCAGAACGATTATCAAGTTAAGATTCAATCGAAAGAGATGAAAGCATAAAAGTGGATTGAAACTTAGTGAGGCAAAGGTGAGTGCATATGTATTAGTATATGATGTGTGTGGAAAAGACTCGTGATGAGTCTACTTCCAACATTTGATTACATGATTTTATGAATATTAATATGGGTGATATTATTATTATTTATGCATGAATATAATCATAAGTGTTATATGTGAACATGTGAATTATATGAAAAGTGATATGAATTACATGAAAAGAAGCTATATGTCTACATGTATATGTGAAAGAATCTATGAGCTTATATGAACAAGTGGTATGAAAATGTATGTGTGAAATGATATAAGTGAAAATGCCCATGTTATGTGTAAGAAGAGCTAGAGGTATAGTTGGCATGCCAAGATTCGAGGGTTCTACGTGGTTCTTCGGGACATTTATGTATTCTTTGGAACATTTAAAGGGTCTTATGAGACACATATGTGATCCATTGAAATATGTATATGGTTCTTAAAGAGTGGTCCTTCGGAACAAATACAGTACATAGGTCCTTCGGGACAAAATTCATAGCCCCTAGTGGGACCCCATACGAGCTGTGGTGACAGCATAGTGCACAGCCTCAATAGACTCACATATCTACAGTTCTCACATATATACATGGGCTAACAAAGAGATAATAATAAACATTTATATTACATGTAAAGTATATGCTTTTGTGATATGAATTGTATTATATGATGGATATGATGAATGATGTGTATATGTGTACATTTGATTACATGAAATGCTATATTATTTTGTGTGATAGCATGATATGATATGTTCATGCATGATTAAGTAGTTAGAGTTACTTTAATGTGTTTAATGCCTCACTAAGTCATAGACTTAGCGTTAGAGGTGGGTATACGGGCTACCCGCCCGTTTAGCCCGCGGGTTTTGACGGTGCGTGCTTAAACGGAGCGGGCTAAAAAGCCCGCATTCATAAACGGTTTTGAATTTTAAGGCATGCGGCCCGTCCATTTAACCCACGGGCTAAACAGGCTTACCCGCGACCCGTTTAATAAAAATAATTTTAAATGCTTTAAATGCAATAAAAATAATGTTTTAACTTACTACACCTTTAAAAATGATCGAGCAACTTGAAAAGGAAGGTAACACCGCCAAAATAATAAATAATATTTAAATTTTATTTTAAATAGCCGGAAATGATTATAAAATAATATTTTTTTTAATATTTTAATCATTAATATATATATATATATAATGATATAATTACTTAAACTTAAATTAAAAAACAATATTCACTTATATCACCAAATTGAAAAACAAATAAACAATAAACACATTATACTTTTATAAAACACGATTATTCAAGGCTATAATATGAAGACACAGAAGTGTCTGAAAACAGAAATTCAAACATAAAAATTCAACAAAGTTAAACATTATACAAATCTAACAAGAAAGTTGTCAAGTGTTCCTAATAATTGTATTTTATGGATACTTTAGAGAAATACTAAAACATAATATGAAAATATAAAATAAAATACTTACAATATAAGAGTAAATTTGAAAGATACAGTTGAAAAGTATGTTTTCAATTTTTTCTTTTACTTTTCTTTCTTATTTTTAATCCAAATGTTACGTGTCATGTGATATATTATTAGAATATCATGTGACTTTTTATAATTAAAGAACAAAATGGATAACATACTTCACGAAAAAAATAAAGGTCAAAATTAAATAAAAAAATCTTTAAATACCAAAATGATAATGATGTATATTTAAATGAAAAAAATATCAAGCAACGGTAAAATTATGACAAACACCCTAATAAATTTAAGAACTACAATAGTTATAAGTATAATCATATTTATAGATAATTTTTTTTGTTTTTCTATAAAATTCTTTAAGTTTATTTTCTCTAAAATTTTATAAATTTTAAATTAAGCGGGCTTTAGCAGGTTTAACGGGTAGCCCGCGGTTATACCCATTAAACCCGCGGGTTTAACGGTCCGGGCTAAAAAGCCCGCAATTTAAACGATCTTCAATTTTGAGGCCCGAAGCCCGCATGGGTCGCAGGTTAAACGGGTAGCCCGCGGGCCTTAACCCATATACCCAGCTCTACTTAGCGTGTGAGTGTTTCACAGGTAGGTTCTGGAAAGCAAAAAGAGAAGTTTAGAGGAGCAAGACATGTCATATTCTCCTTTCCACAATTCAATCAGATATAGATTTAAATTATGTATTTTGTCATATGAAATGTAGTTGGCATGTAAGATAAAAGATTTGTACTGGAAACGCTCTGATCAATTTGTAAAATCATATGTTTTTATATAATAGAAATTATTTCGGTTTTAGTGGAAATGTCTAACTGAATTTCATTGAATTTTGTCAAAGTAAACGTTTTGAACGGTCAATGTGACACCTCAGACTCGTATTCGAGTCGGGTACGGGTTGGGGGTGTTACTCCTCCAGCACAACATGTGTGAGGACTGTTGTATATTGTTAGTTCCCATCTGTTGTTTTTCCTCTTCCTTTTCGATACACGAACCATCCAACTACATCCGTTTTCGCGTCGGGCACAGTAGCATACATATTTTTCGGTCATGGAGCGGTCGACTCTGGACTGAACAAAATTACAGATATTGTAATTTTTTATAGTCATCATCACTTCTTCCTTGCTTGAAAACTCCATGCCTAAAGATAACTCACCATTATTTATTGATGAGTAATATCTATAGTCACCGAGATGAGGCATATCCGCAAATTTTGGCCCGTACATTGCATCATAATTAGCTTCATACATGTGTGTTGGAGGGTCAGTTTGTGCCACATTTGTTGGAACTTCATCTACATCATCATCATCATCGGAGTTGAATTATGGTGATTCTGGGTGAATGAATAGTCCAGTCTCAGCACCATCCGCACCAGGCTCACGAAGCGGTTCTTCTGGTGGAGATGATGGTTCCTCCATGCTCTCCACATTTAGGTCGAAGAACCTACTACTGGCACGCCTTCCCCTTGAACTAGAAGGCATATCTGGATTTATATCGAAAAAGCTCGCAGTCGAATGCCTCCCCCTGGAGCTTGAAGCCATCATGTCAAATGGAAACTGCACAGATTGTTGCGTCGATGGCATCTTCATATTAAGGTCAAAGAAATTTGCAGATGAATGCATTCCCCTCGAACTGGACGCGATGTTGTCATACAGATTGTTTGTGGACCTACCTCGGTACATATCGTAAGGAGTTGCAGATGAATGTCTCCCCATTGAAGTTGATGTGCCGGCACCATGGTGTGGATTTCCCATTATGCATTAAAATCATTACACATTACTGTATCGGGCTGTCAACTTGTTCAGCCAGCCCATAGTGTGAGCTTAATGGCTGACCCCGAACATCACACACTTGAACAAACTTTGCATACATCTCAATATCGTCGTCTAAATAATTACTTTGAGAATCAACCATCATTTCAACATCATCATTGTTCGATAATTTGAACGTTGTATAAATTAATGGCAACAATGATGTTGGAAATCTGTACTGCAACGACGAGATTCTTCTACTACTTCCAACATGAACCTTCATCGAATCTTCGTTATCAGCTCCTCAAGAGTTATGTTTCTCTTGAATGATATTTTAACACGCTCATTTGATACGAATATAATGCCGGTTTCATCTTCTCGAATTTCTCTATCATAATAAACAATAACTGAAAGTCGCGTCATTCTTAGAGTTTAAAAGTACAACAATATTATATCTGCAAAAAAACAACGGAAACAAATCTGATTAAATAAATAATATATTACCAAAAATATAACAGAATAATTTTTTTACATATAAACGTAAATAATTTAAATAATATAATTTTATATTATTACATGCACCGTAAAAATATTTCGACGTATTCTCTCACTTTCTAATTCTACAAACACATAAATTAATTGAAAACAATTAGTATAATATTTTTTTAAATAATCATATATAAATATAAAATAAATATTATAACAAAATTACCTTATAACGAAAGATCGAACAAACTTCTTAATCAAATATAAGATGATTGTCGGATATTAATTACTTATTCAAATGATTGTTGGTGAGAGAGTTTACGGGAGACGGCTATTTATAGCCGAGAGATGATGCCTCAAAGGCGAGAAGTTTAGGAAAATAATGCAAGGCGTGGTCCTTGCACCGCGCCTTGCATGATGCATGTTTGTTAATTGAGATAATTGAATAGCGCGACTCTTGCCATGCGTTATATCTTACGTGGCATAAGGCACGACCTCTGCCCCGCGCCATACACACATGTATCTATGTCAGCATAGGGCGCACCTTACCCCACGTGACGTCAATTCAACGTATAGCGCGGCACAGGGACGCGCTTTACTGTAAAGGATGTTAGATCAAAAAATATAATATGACCGGTGCCTGATCAAAAATATTAAATCAAAAAGATGATTTTTCGATAAAAACACTTAAACAATGGATTGTAATTATAAAGTTAAACGGCAGGGCAAAGTCAATTTTTTATTTTTCTTTCTTTCTTGAACTATTTATTTTGTTTCTTTTTCTCTTTTGTTTGAAGGTTATATTTTTCTTGAGGTGTACGACCACGACCAGAGTCGTGTTACAGACTATATTTACGACATTGGGCATGTGTATCTGTCTGATCTGGTTCCAAACGCGAACGAGATCTGTTTGGTGCGGAGTCAAACGGCGCGCATATTGATGGTTGAAAATTGGGAATCAAATCAAATGAAATAAAAGGAGTTCCCATTTTCCTTATCAGAAAACACAAATTCGAACCGTGGAAAGGCAGGCCGAGGTTGGGATTCGGACGTAGAATCAGAAATTGGATTAGAAATTGAGAGAATTTGGGGTGGGAATGACGGGAGGAGGAGAATTCGGCGATCAGAGGCATCTCCTCGGATCCAACAGCCATACAGATGAAGAACATGACAATGAAGAAAAAATCGATGACTTGGAATCTCAAGTTACGTACAACAACAGCAATAGTAAGGGCATCAACGATCTGGTGAAGTATTTGGGGAGGGGGTTCTCCGGGAGGCGCCTCAGCTTCAAACGTCTCGATAGAGACAGAGATAGAGGAAGAGAACGCTCATCGCCGTCTTCCTTAGATCATCATCAACAACAACATCTTGGTCACCACCATTCTTACGCTGGAGATGCCGCTGATCCGCTGGGAGATAGCGCCCCTCCCGAATGGGCTTTGTTGCTTATCGGTTGCTTGCTTGGCGTCGCCTCCGGATTCTTCGTGGCAGCCTTTAATAAAGGAGTAAGTTTTTTGTCCTCTCCTCTTGAATTTTCTATCCAAAAGGGCTTAATTTTAGTTTCTGTTTTTCTCATTTACACGCTTAATTTTAGTTTCTGTTTTTCTCATTTACACTTCAATATTATCATTCTACAAATGTAATTCCTTCATTTTCTACCAAATGCATTTTTGGATTCTTATATCTCACCTTTGCAACTTTTGCTGAAATAAAAGCTTTGTCACATCGTCTATGAATTTGTGAAATTTGTATTTTTATTGATAGCTTACTAGGAACCATACTAGTTTTTTTTTTACCATATTGTTGAGAATGACATATATTTTACGTTTCCAACCATATATCTTTTGTTTCTTGAATCCAGCTCCTTCGCTACTTATATCCTTGCTATGTTACTGTAAACTGCCTCCTTTAAAAAGTATGGTATTTGTCAAAGTAGCCAATGCTGCTTCAGTTTTTGTGCTGAAATTGCTGTGTATTGATGTTTACTATTGCTCTACCAGGTTCACGTCATACATGAATGGGCATGGGCTGGGACTCCAAACGAGGGTGCTGCTTGGCTTCGTCTGCAGAGACTGGCTGATACTTGGCATCGGATTCTTTTGGTACCAGTTACTGGAGGTGTCATTGTTGGAATGATGCATGGTTTACTTGAGATATTGAACCAAATCCAGCAATCCAGTTCTCAACAACAAGGTTTCAGTTTGGTTGCTGGGGTATTCCCCACGGTAAAGGCTATCCAGGCTGCCATCACTCTAGGTACAGGTTGTTCTTTGGGTCCAGAAGGCCCCAGTGTAGACATTGGAAAGTCATGTGCCAATGGATTCTCATTATTGATGGAAAACAACCGAGAAAGGAAGATTGCTCTTGTGGCTGCTGGAGCGGCATCTGGGATTGCTTCTGGTACTCTGTGTTATTCAAAGTTTTCAATTTCTAAAGATTTATTTTACCCAGAATTTAGCCTTTTGATGAGAATGCCTTATCACTATGGTTTTTCACATTAGTCAATGGGTTTATTATTATTATTATTATTATTATTATTATTATTATTATTATTATTCAATGTTATTGAACAGTGAATGCTGTTTTCAAGTTTAACAGAACAGCTCAAAGTTATGTTGTGATCAGTCAAATTTGTTTAATTAGATACCTTATTTATGAGGTATGCACACAAGAAATTTATAGAGAAACTGAAATTTATACATATTCTTATGTTCATGTGATTTTCGTATTGTTAGTGCAGGTACTGTATTTCTTTAGTCTGCTGTCTGGAAGAGTTTGGTCCTGCGTACTTAATTATGTATGGCAATGCTTTGGAAGCCAATTAAACAGGAATTAGTTTCTTAATAGTCCAGGGTATCATGTCAATTGAAGGATGACCTAACTGAGTCATACTGTGGTAGAGTGTTGTATAACTCATTTACTGAAGTTTCTTACAGGCTACTGCCATTAGTCAAAGGAAATTTTCTCCTCTAATAATACTCTATGTGATATCAAGCAAAGCTAGATTTGATGACTTGGCCAAATTCATTTATTTTAGCAAAAAATAATATGGTCCATCTAGAGCATGCTAATCCAAACTTTGTTAAACTTCTATTTTTAGTTCTGGATTTGATTGGCATAAGCTTTTAAGCTTCCTTCCTATCTAATAATTTAATTTAGGGCATTTCTAGATTGATTGATAAAATGTTTAACTTTAACCTTTTGATTTTTCTCCCTTCTTTTTAGGTTTTAATGCTGCGGTCGCTGGTTGCTTCTTTGCTATTGAAACTGTATTAAGACCTCTCTGTGCTGAAAACTCGCCTCCTTTTACAACTGCGATGATTATTTTGGCCTCTGTTATCTCATCTACTGTATCAAATGCTTTACTTGGTACAGAATCAGCTTTCACCGTGCCATCATATGATTTGAAATCTGCTGCTGGTATTTCACCTTCCTGAAATGAAAATCTCTTTATTTTCTGGATTGCAGTTTTTTTTATGCTTGTATTATTATTTTTTTTGATAGGAAAGGTAGGCCTCTTTAAAAACCCCCTTCATGATTAAAGGATCACACGGTGCTCCTTAATCAGCGGAAGGAGGAAAAGAGTGCCTCAATAATTCATTGATAACCACAAGTTACAAAGACTTAAAACAACCATACAATCTATCATACAAATAAGCAACCCAAAACCTAATAGAAACCCAACTAAACAAAACAGAGATCTATCCAATACCAGCCTTAGCTAAACTATCAGCCTCAACATTGGTTGACCTAGCAACCCATCTAATACTACTATTCAGTCCACTAACCTTGCCAACAATAGCTGTCACAATGTCTAAGTAAACATAGGGACAACGGTCGATGTTCTTGACCCAATCCACTGCTAATTTACTGTCTGATTCAACAATTAACCTTTCCTTAAACCGCTGCTGAAACGAGTCAAAGAGCCCACCACCGAACCATCATGAACTCTAAGAATGCCCCCAACACCACTCTTCCTCCAATCTGCAGTCACAGCCGCATCCACATTCAGCTTAATAAATCCTTCTGGAGGATTAGACCAGGACACAGTTTTGATAATAGGAGAGCTTAATAAGGAGCAGCAATCCCCAAGTGAAGGGTCACAAATAAGAGAGTCCTTAGGGATAGATACAACCTTGTAGTAAGCTAAGAACCAAGCAGCCAGTCTACACCTTGCCAAAAAGAATAAATCAATCTGATCTACCTTCCCCCCCTCGAACACAATTGCATTCCTACCCTTCCACATTGTCCATAAAACCACCCCCGGAATGAAGGACCAAATTTTCGAATTAGGTACCAATTCATCCCAAGCGACCATAAAGCTGTGAGCATTGTCTTGAAAAACTGAAGAAACTCCCCAGAAAATCAAAAATTTATTCCATAAGGACCACACCACCGAGCAAGAAAAGAATAAATGTGCTGAGGTTTCATCCGCCTCTCCGCAAAAAGGGCAAGCAACATCCACAATAGTTGAAACTCCTTTCCTCTGTAGCTCAACTTTAACTGGCAGTCTTTGGTGCACGACCTGCCACAAGAAGACCTCCACTCTAGGAGGCACCGATCCCCTCCAAACATACTTCTTCCAAAAGGGATCAGTTATACCAACAGGCCTGCATGACTTAACACTCGAACTAACAGTATAGACACCTTCCCCATTGCCATACCAGACCAACCCATCCGATAACTCCTGAGAAAGAGGGATATTGTGGATTAGAGTCATTAAATCAGAGTACTGAACCAATTCCCATTCACTCAAATTCCTTCTCAAATTAACATGCCAAGACCAAACTGAAGATCGAAATTCCCCAAACTCATAAAGCTTCCCATACTTATTTATAGACAGCACATACAACCTCGGAAAAATCACTTTAAGAGGGGAATCATGTGCCCAACTATCCAACCAAAATCTAATGCTCCCTCCATCACCCACTCTGACTTTAAAGTTGCTACGAAACTTTGCTCCAAACTGATCATTTTTGAAATGGTTGAGGACCACCGATTTCCAAATCCAAGAAGCATGTGTAGGAAGTTTCTCGTTAAACAGCAGTAAACTGGGATCCAAATTTTATTTACAGCAAATAACCTTCTTCCACACTGAGTCTTTATCGTTAGCAAACCTCCAAGACCATCTCCCTAAGAGAGCTCTATTCATAAGACTTATATTCATAGCACCAAGACCTCCAACACTTTTATCGGAGCAAACTTTTGTCCAATTAACCCAATGGATTTTCCTAGCCTCCACTCCTCCTCCCCATAAGAATCTGGCCATGATGGAATTCAGCTTAACACTCACCGAAGAAGGCATCTTGAAAAGGGACATGAAATAGATAGGAAGGGAACCCAAAACTGCCTTCAGTAATACCAACCTCCCTGCCATTGATAGAGTCTTCGCCTTCCATCCGGCTAGCTTTGAATGAAACTTTTGAACTACCGGATCCCACAACATCATAGAGTTTCTCTTAGCACCAAGAGGCAGCCCCAAATATTCCGTAGGGAAATGTCCTACAGGACATCCAATAGCATTAGCCCACTGAAGAAGCTCTTCCTCATTAATATTAATCCCAAATAATCTGCTCTTAGACAGATTCAGTTCCAGACCAGTCATAATTTCGAACACCTGAAGGATCCTCTTAACATTAACAATCTGAGTCTTCGAAGCACTACAGAAAATGATTAGGTCGTCTGCAAATTGCAGATGAGATAAGTTGACTGAGGCCTCATCTTTACCAACCACCAGACCACTGAAAAGGCCCGAAGATACTGCTTTACGAAGCAGCAGGTTAAGCAGTTCTCCAACAAGGTTAAACAACAGAGAGGACAGGGAACAACCCTGCCGAAGGCCTCTAGCCATAGGAAATTCATCAGTAGGAACCCCATCTTCGCCATAACTTTAAATAAAATGTCCCAATCTACCGAATCATAAGCCTTTTTAAAGTCTACCTTAAATACACAACCCTTCAAGCCTCTCTTCCTCCATAAATCAATTCCTTCATTAGCAATAAAAGAGCAATCCAAAATTTGTCTCCCAGGAATGAAAGCAAATTGAGACTCACTGATTATATCATTGATGCAACATCTCAATCTTCTCGCGAGGCACTTAGATAGGATCTTATACATCCCACCTACAAGGGAAATAGGTCTGAAATCATCTAAACTCCCAACATTAGAACCTTTCGGGATGAGAGTTAAGAAGGAATGGTTAATAACATGCTCCCACTCCTTACCCAAATAGAAGTTGTGGAAGAATTTCAATATATCACCTTTCAAGCTAAGCCAGAAGTTCTTAAAAAAACCCATGTTCAACCCATCTGGCCCAGGGGCTTTATTACTATCACAAGAATTAATGGTCCCCCAAATCTCATCTTCCGTAAACTCCTTCTCTAGCAATAGGTTATGTTGCAGGGAAACTTTTGCGAAATCTAAGTTAATACCCTCCACTTCCATTGTTGAGCAACAATTAAAAGCTTTAAAGAAATGCTCCCTGACACTAGACTTGATAAGACCTGGATCTTTGGTGATGACACCATCAACATTTAAAGCATACAGAGAGTTCAACCTCCTCCTAATGGAAGCGCAAGTGTGAAAAAACTTTGAATTACGGTCACCACCTTTGACCCACTTCTCTCTAGACTTTTGTACCCAAATTTGCTCTTCGATTCTAAAAAGTCTCCAAAGTTCATTTCTCAAAAGCCTCAACTCTGTCGAAATGACAACATCATTGTAAGGAGGATGATGTTGCATCCCCTTTTCAATCTGATGAATTTTGTCCTCTAACATAGAGATGTCCATTCGAGGAAATTGATTTCTATCTCCAGACCAGCACTTAATGGCAGACTTTGTATTCCTAAGCATACTCAAAATTCCAACTCTTGAATTTTCTTCTTTGAACAGCTTAATAGACTCAACAACTATCTTCTCAAAACCATCCTCAGACAATAGATAATTGAACAGCCTAAAGGGTCTCTTACCCCAATTATCTACCCCCCTCTCCAGGAAAATTGCATTATGATCGGAGATAGATTTAGGCAAAAGAAACTGGTTGATACCGGAAAATTCTGCTGAGAAATTACAGTTCACCAGAAACCTATCTAGTCTTACAACCGTCGGCAAATCCCGATAACTGCTCCATGTGAAATTCCCCCCAACAAGAGGCAAATCAATAAGTCTCGTTTGCTGAATAAAGTGATTAAAAATTTCCAGTGAATTTCTGTTATGACCTCTGCCTAACTTCTCCTCTTCATTCAAATAGGCATTGAAATCCCCACCCACACACAAAGGGATACTGAACCCGTTTAAAAACAATTCCAGTTCATCAAAAAAAGCAACCTTCTCTTCCTCCACAGACGGACCATAAACGTTTATGAAGCCACACCTAAGGTGGTTAGACTTGATCTTTCCAAAAAGCAATAAACCTCCTATGAATAAACTGATCGTCAATCTCAAAAAAATTATCATCCCAACAACTTAACATACCACCAGATGAACCTATTGCTGGAGACTCAACGAACCCCTTCAACCCATTCAAACCACTCCTTAAAAAAGACATTGGTAATTTTTCAAGTTTTGTTTCTTGAAGAAAAAGAAACGACGGTTTTTTCTCAGAAACAAGTTTTTGCACAACTCTATGTTTCTCTTTTTTACCCAAACCCCTAACGTTCCAAGACAAGATACTTAGCTTAGTCATGATACTCAAATAAAAAGAACCCAGAAAGCCCACATACAAATCTCGAGGTCAAATAGCCCCACTCAACCCTTTCTCCAATTCAACAATCTTTTGTATAAAAGCTTCCTTCCCCTCCTTGAAAGATATCCCCAGCATCTTACTAATTTCCCATGTAGCAATTGCTTCCTCAACCAGCAAAGGAAAAGCTGATGAGGAAACAGTATCAACACTAGCATGATCAACAGCTTCCCTAAATAGAGACCTTTTAATTCTCCTGTATGGTCTGCTCACCCAAGAACTGTCCAATTCCTTTATCAAAAAACCAGCAGCCTCGGAAACATCAGAAAGACAACCTCTAGAAATTAAAGCTCTTACTGTCTCACCATTGAACACCCCTCGTGACTTTTCCTTACAATCCTGCACATTATTACAATTTTTCACAACCTGATTCCAGATCTTTCTAGACTTCGACCTACTATAAGTTTTCTTATGACTTCTGATGAATTTCCTTCCAACCGGAGCAGTCTTCATGGATAACGAACTTGCAGAGCAGGTTTGTGAACCATCTCTTAAACTTATCAGCTTTAAACCAACCGGAGCCCCTCCTCCAACTTTAACCCCTACTGAATCCTTAACTGTATCTGATGAAAAAGGACTACGGCCCATAGAGTTTAGGCAATTTTCTTGCTCTAGACCAGCCAACTGATGCCCTCCAAGGCCTGAATTAGGCCCACTCTCCCGGTCAACATTATCAAGCTTAAAAAGATCCCCCCCCATACTTTTCCCGCTTTTATTACTTTCAAAAAGATCTTCCGACTTTTCATGTGGAGAGGAGACAACTCTCTCGGAATCTGTGACATTACCACGTTGTGAGTCTGCAACCCACTCTAGCACCCTATTATGGATTTCTGACATTTCCTGACATCCCACGTGACCTCCATGCTGTGCCTGCCCATCCTCTGTGCTCCATCCGGAGGAGTTCTCCACTGAAGGATCCTCTGGAACAACCTCTTCAGCCAGATCTGAAAAATCAGGAAAGAAATCATCCCCCCCCATCAACCTTAATTTTTATCAGAAATTTCCTTCCATTCGTAGTAACTGAAGTATGATCAGGGATGTCAAAAGGGCTGACTACCCTAAGAAGCATCTGTGCAACTCTGCAGTCCACTCTCTGAGCAGTTTCATCTTTAATCTTCACTAACTTGCCCCACCTGGATACCACCCTAGTGAAGAACGGAACCGACCAGCAATTTAAAGGAACTCCTATCATGGAGATCGTACAAAAAGCTCGGGGAATGCTTTCCTCATCCAATACCGGCTCCAACCTTTCAAACCAGAAGGACAAAGCTTCCCATTTTCCTTCCATTGCTAAATTCTTCTCTTCCACCGATTGGAACACAACCAGGCACGCATTCTTAGAAAAACCCCACCTAACAACCTTTACGTTGATGCCCTCATTCCTTAACGCTTTCTGCACAACATGAAGTTCAAAAATATCTTTGAAGATACCAGTAAGAGACGATCTAAGCCAGACCCTATCCTCCACTGGGATGGAAACATCCTTAGTGTTATTCAGCTCCTTCGAATTAAAATGAATACCCTCTTGCACACCCTCTGGCTCTTTATACACCCCCACCACCGCCTCCTTGTAGGACCTCCCATCATGAAACTTATCCAGCATCTCCATCCTCCTCACCCTGTCAGCTTGAGAAGGCAATCTTCTACCCATTCCCCCACTGATACCAGCACTCTTAACTCCATCAACCCTCCCATCTTTCTGTCTCTTCGACCCATATATTTTCTCATATTTGGCTACAGCCACTGCATTACACAGATCCTCCTTACTTGCAAAATGGACGAAAGCAAACGTGCTTACCTTATACTTCGGTCTATTATTGATAAACGGAATGAACACCTTAATAACCTTACCAAAATGACTAAAACGAGAAGCTTCTGGTAGTCCTTTCAAAAGTAATTTGTTGTCTGGGGAGATTGATGATTGTGCTACTCCATTAAAGCTTTCTTCTTGTATGTGAATTGTCAATTGCTGCTACTTTATGTTTTGATTTCATGTCCTTATTACAATCTAAAATTAAAAAAAGGTCAAAAACCGCACCTGCCTTCAGATATTTGACAGTGAACGACCAATTTAGTGTGTAATTTCACTATGCATTATCATTTCCAGAGGCATGGACTTGTGGCTGTTTGGCTTTTTTACCTGAATAGATAAAACACGCTTCATGTGTGGTACTAGGAAAGATATGATTAGAAATGACTCCATATAAGTGATAAAATGACAATATTATGATAATAATTTTGCTTTGCAGAGCTACCTTTGTATCTGATCTTGGGGATGCTTTGTGGTGTCGTAAGTGTAGTCTTCACTCGCTTGGTTTCTTGGTTCACTGCAGCATTTGAGTATATCAAGGAGAAATTTGGACTTCCTGCTGTAATATGCCCCGCTTTAGGTGGTTTAGGAGCTGGAATAATAGCTCTTAACTATCCTGGAATACTATACTGGGGCTTTACAAACGTCAATGAAATCCTACATACCGGGAAGTCTGCATCAGCTCCTGGAATCTGGTTACTAACCCAACTAGCAGCGGCCAAAGTTGTCGCCACTGCTTTATGTAAGGGGTCTGGGCTTGTAGGTGGCCTTTATGCACCGAGTTTGATGATTGGTGCTGCTGTCGGTGCTGTATTTGGAGGCTCAGCTGCTGAACTTATTAATTCAGCTATTCCAGGCAATGTTGCCGTTGCACAACCACAAGCATATGCACTGGTAAACTTTCCATGGGGAGTTATTGCACAGTTATCTCTTGAACTTGGCAAACTACCTTTCAATTTTATTATCTAAGCTGATTTTGATACATTCAAGTTTCTACTCTAGGTTGGAATGGCTGCCACGTTAGCTTCAGTTTGTTCAGTTCCCTTAACTTCAGTTCTGCTTCTTTTTGAGCTGACAAAAGATTACAGGATCTTACTTCCTCTCATGGTAATGTTATATGTTATCTTGCTTGCTTTTTATATTTTTGTAATAAGCAATATATAGAATAGGGGAGTCCGCGAATATACTTTTTACTATTTTTTTATAGTCAGCCTGATTACTTCTGGCAAAAAGTAAAAGGGTCCAGTTTAACTGCAGTCCAGCTTTATTGGAATTAAGTAATTGTCCAGTTTTGTCTCCAACCAAGAATGTAAACATGTTATGCACTACTGCAAGTGGTTTAACTGAAGTCTGAATTATGGCCTTTGTTTTATGTTCTAATACAAGATTTCTATAGTATTTCCTGTTTTTGTTGGGATTAACTATTAAGGCTTTAAGGCTTTGCGTTATTCTTGAGCAATTTCTTTGGATGCCATGTCATGGGACAATTTCTAAATTTTTTGCACTTAATTTTAGTTCTTTGTCAATTTTTCGTACAGGGGGCTGTAGGATTAGCGATATGGGTTCCTTCTGTGGCTAAACAGCACAAGGAGACTGACACATCTGATTCGAGGAATTCAGCAAGAGGATATTCTTCTGTTTCTGCTGCTGAGGAACTCTCTGTCATAGAAAAGGCTTCTGACCTAGAAGCATTAGATGAAGATATGCTTCTTGAAGATCTTAGGGTATAGTTCTCTCTTATTTTGTTTTAGAGAAGCTTTTTCAAAATGATCAAGTTTCTTGTTTCAATTGATTGTTTGAGCTCCTCATTAGTATTCTCTTATTTTACTTTCCCGACTTGACGAATTCTATATCAATGTTTTTTTGTCAGGTTTCTAGGGCCATGTCAAAGAAGTTTTTGAAGGTGTCAATGGCTGTTACCATAAAAGAAGCAACGAAAAGCATGCATGAGGGTCATCATAGATGTGCGCTTGTGGTCGATGAAGATGATTTTCTGGAGGGGATTCTTACATTTGGTGATATTAGAAGGTGTCTGTCTAAGAAGCCTAGTGATTTCTCCAAGGGTGATTCAACAGCACTTGATGTATGGGGTGCCAAACTTCTTGCTCTTGCTCTCTTGCTTTTTTTCCCTCTCATGTTTTGAATAATAAGTCATTTAAGCCATGTCTACAGGTGAATGCATGTCTTGTTTCCTCTGTATGCACAAAAGGGATAAGCTACTGTGGGCAGGAGCGCGGAGTTCTAACATGCTTTCCAGACACAGACTTAGCAATTGCGAGGGAGTTGATGGAAGCTAGTGGAGTAAAACAATTGCCGGTGGTGAAACGTGGCAGAGAACCCCACAAAGGAAGGAAGCGGAGGGTCATTGCCATTCTTCATTACGACTCAATCTGGAACTGTGTCAGGTTCATATTTATGCTTCAATCTGTTGTACGATATGTAGTTAAATATAGAGAAAGAAGTACGAAAATGATTTCGATTTAAACGTTTATGTTTGTTGTCCGTGCCATTATCATGCAGAGAAGAGATAAATCACAGGAAGGCCATGTATCAACATGCCCACAGGAAGGATGATCAAGAGGAGATTGTAAATGCAAATGGCCATTAACAATGCATCTGTTTCTCTCCCTTGGCCTGCTGCCTGCAAACCTCATATATATATATAGATTAGAGCAAATTAGAAGCAAATTTTTTATGCTGTCATTAGAATTGTAATTAGTAATTATAATTAGCATTGGTTCACCAAATCTGGCACTGAGTGGGGATATTACGGAATGTTTTGCCGTGGATCCTTTTGATGTAATTTGCAGAACAAAATACACACAAACACATATCATCTATATGTGCTTTGTAATTGTGCTCGCAACAACAATCATATGCATTTTGTCTTCTTCACATTACTGAATACAGAGCAAAAATATTCCAATGTTATCTATTATCTACGCAGTGCAAAGAACATTTATATAATTTTTATTTTTTAATCAGTATACTATTTTTTTTTGTATTGAACCATAATACTACTCTATAGCTTACCTCGAGGTGACTCAATAGGTTCTATTCTTCAAAACTAAATATTGCTAATTTCTCTTATTTTTTAGTAATAAAATTGATATTTTAATTACGAAATAGACATGTACTACATCAAAAAGTATTTATAATGAGTTTCTAAAAAATTTGATCCGAAATAATCAATCAATAGATATGATATAGTTGATTAAATAAATATAAAAAAATCAGGTGTTTTCAAATACTCGGACCCATTTTTAGAATTGGTGAAGCCCATTTATATTTGTCGGAATGGGCTGGGGTTAATAGCTTTTAAGCCTGAGGAGAACGCCCATTGTATTAATTAAGTTCAAATCCAAAGCTGACTCCAACTGTATAAAATATAAATTAAGAAACCAAAGCAAAGCAAAGCTAAGCTAAGCAGAGGATAAAGAAACCAACGCATCGACTGAAACTGGTGAAGAATAAAACTTAGAAAGCACAGAATGGCGTCATCGTCGAGCAGCGGCCTAACCTTCAAGCTTCATCCGCTGGTAATCGTAAACATATCGGATCACTACACGCGAGTCAAGTCCCAGATGAACCCTCCGCTCGTCAGCTCCACCTCCGCCACCGTCAACGGTGTCGAACCCCAACAGCAAGCTCCTCGAATCTACGGATGTGTCGTAGGTGTCCAGAGGGGTCGCACCGTCGAGATCTTCAACAGCTTCGAGCTTCTCTATGATCCCTCCACCCACTCCCTCGACCGCCCTTTCCTCGAGAAGAAACAGGAGCTTTGTATGAACAACACTCTATTTCATTATTTTTCTTTCTTGTTTTATTGGTTTTATACTTTCAATTTATAATTTTGGCTATTGAATTTGTTTCCCCAGATAAGAAGGTTTTCCCCCATTTTTATATTCTTGGATGGTACTCCACTGGGAGCGATGCCCAGGAATCTGATATGCACATTCATAAAGCCGTATGTTTTCTCAACCCTCCCCATCCTCTCACAGTTATGTAGTATATATAATTACTTTGTGATCAATGAAAATATAGATATTTGATTTTGTTGCTTCTTGTTAATGTTTGATTGATACGGTTAGGGGTCTGTTTTTCCACTCCCATTTGTAACTTATATCTTCCAAAGGAACCATTATATTGAAATACTTGGTTGCCTCCTCTTTTCTTTGTATAACTCGTTTGGAATTGGATAATAGTTTCTCCTTGTTCATTTGTTGCAGTTGATGGATATTAATGAAAGCCCTCTGTATGTGCTTCTCAATCCTACAATCAATCCCGCCCAAAAGGATCTTCCAGTCACCATTTATGAAAGTGGTTTGTAGCCGTTTCGTCTTTATTTCATTCTTTTATATATTAATCAAATATCTATCCTCTCTTATTCTGTCTCTGAATTTTTGCAACAAGGTATCCTATGTGCCATTATAGGATATTTTTTTGTGTTCTATCTGATTGGTTTCCGTCTAATTTGTTCCTTCATTATTGTCAATGCATGCTTTGCTTTCCAACATAAGATATGCATTTTATATTTGCTAATTTTGTCATTTGTGTTAATGTTTCTTTATTTAAAGAAACCATTTTGGATGCTCAACTTGTTTTCTCGCTTGTAAGTAATTGCTGAGCATTTTTTGGTGATTAAACTGAGAATCTTGTGCAGTTTTACGTAGTTTTTACAACCTTTATAGTTCCTAATTATTCTTTGGTGATAACATTTCTATTTGTCCTCTTGTTGGTCATGTCAACATAAAAGAGCTGCACGTTATAGATGGGATTCCACAACTTATATTTGTCCGTTCAAGCTACACAATTGAGGTTCATAATCATACTTTCCAAGTTCCCATTCTTATCTACAGAGTTTTCTTTTAATTTTCACCAACTGGAATTTCTGAGATGGTTTCTCCCCCCTTTTCTTTTCTTTTCTTTTCTTTTCTTTTTCTGGGTGGGGGGTTGGATTAAAGACTGTTGAAGCTGAGAGGATCTCTGTGGATCATGTTGCCCATCTAAAGCCATCTGATGGTGGTTCAGCGGCAACTCAATGTAAGCCTGCATTCTTCTTTTCCCTGGGTTTTTCTGTGAAATGTGACAATCTTATTTGATGGAAGTCTTCTGTTTTCTCGTTTCTTTAATTGATTAGTACAACTATACTCTTTGTACTTATGATGCAGTGGCTGCTCATCTTACTGGTATACATAGTGCGATCAAGATGTTGAATAGCAGAATCAGTGTGCTTCATCACTATCTTGTCGGAATGCAAAAAGGTATGATCCCTTTCCTTCTGAGATTAATGCAAACTAAATTTATTATAATGCATGTGCATGTTTCAAGGTTGTTGCAGGAAACCTATATGTTTAGTGTAGAGTCTGGATAAAAGTTCAAACATGGAGAATACTTCAAAATAAATTATAAATTTTTATTTCTATTATAAATTTTAGGAAAAAAGTTGACAAGTAGTTATGCATGTAAACAGTTATAAACGCTACCATATTTTATAGTTTTTATGACATTTGATCAGTCATTTCCCATTTTTTTATTGGATGTTGTATATATTACTTGTATAGGATAGGCTGACCAAATCTGACTATTATTATTTGGGCTATTTGTGGATTACATACATGGCCATGAAGTAGTTTTAATATGTTCTCCATTTCAGGTGATATTCCTTGCGAAAATTCACTATTAAGGCAAGTATCAAGCCTCCTTAGAAGGTTACCTGCCATTGAATCAGAAAAATTTCAAGATGACTTTCTGATGGTGAGCTCCCTCTTTCTTATATATATTATAGGTTATTTAAGTTAGTGAAGATCCGTTTGTCACTTTATGTAGCCTAAAGTGGATGGATGTGTAATAGCACAATATACCACTTAAGATACTTAACCTTAAGAACTAAGAAAGTAGTGTTTTTTTCTGTTCTTTTGAGGATGATTTTTTTCTATTATATTTTTCATCGACACAATCAAAAGTTTGTTATTTTGAAATGAGCAACCATCCCCTCAATTTGTTACCTAAGTTTCGGATGTAAAGATTTGAAAACCCAACTTACCTGTAGAAAGTTGGTAAACATTGAGTCATGTTTTGGTAGGGTCTTCTAAAACTTATGATTTCATATTAGCTTGTTAGGAGACTTGAAGAAGATGTTTGTTGCGTGATAATTGTTCTGAGGCAACAGTGAAAATATAAAGATAGCTCCCGTTCTGGTTAGCAAGCATGATGGAAATAAAACCGGAGTAGATCTTGAGTCTGGGTGGTTCAAAATGCACTGATATTAGAATAATCATTGCCTGCTTAAAAAAACAGTGTTCTTTTGGATTTGGCAACCCTGTTTTTGAGGATTTGCCTGTCAATTGTTTAATCTGCTGAATTTTTCATTTTGAAATTATTCACAGGAATATAACGATACCATGTTGGTTACTTATCTTGCAATGTTCACCAACTGCTCGGGGTAAGGGTTATGTTTACTTTTGTTTACATAATATGCCTTCTTTGTCTAAAGTGATCTGATATTATTATTATCATCACGGTGATGACGATGGTGTTTACTTTACAGCACAATGAATGAACTAGTCGACAAATTCAACACTGCTTACGATAGGCATAGTCGAAGGGGGTGGACGGACTGCTTTCATCTAAATACGGTTATTGTTTAGTAGTAGGTTGGATTTTTGTTGGAGAGAATGGTGGTGGTGTTTGCAGTGTTTTAAAGCCTTCTTTGTCTAAGTACTCATATGGTATGAATAGGGATTTCAAATTCCAAGAGAGATGAATGAAAGTACTGCTTTCCCTTAGCTTTACTGGAAAAAAGACTTGATATAGTAACAACATTCTTATACATTCGGTGAAAGTACCTGTCGAGTCCCTCTATTTATAGGGCCTATATCAATTTAGTCCTTCTAGTTCAAATTAGCCCCTCTACTAAATTATCTTATTTAGTAATATAGTGTTATTTTAAAGACTAAATCGCTAAATTTATGATACTGAAACTCTCGGAAACTGGTCCATGAGAATAGGCGGGAAGCAGTGTAACAAAGACTTTCACTAACGTAAGAAGATACAAACCCAAACGGACAATTCACAATTCGGTTGATTCAGTCAGTTTTTCAATTAAACCGACTATAATTTACAAAAAAATTATCCAAGTGAATTTAAGACTTTAAATTGACAAAGTTAGTCGATTTATCGGTTAATCAATTAAATTTAAATATGTAATATTTTGGAATTATATTGAAAATATTTAATTGATTCAACCGAAAAAATCGACTATACAACCAAAAACCAATTAAACCGCTTTAAACGGATTAGTACTCTCACCTAACTGCATGCAGACGGAGCAAAGTTTAATTTTTTACCTATCAAATCGTATTCCCAGAAATAATTTTGTTGCATGATATTTCCAATAACAGAAACTCCGGGAACACGTGCAGGCAAAAACCCTAGGCACTTAACGCCTCCACCAGCAGTAATGACATAGCTATCCCAGTGCGGCTCGAATCGAGCTCCATCTTTGAAGTGAATGATGAATTTCGGCACCGAAATATCGCTGAAACCAGTAGAGTTGAAGCAATAATCCATCGGTACCGTATCCAACTTCACTCTCGGGTACTTTGATACCGACATCGTAAGGACTTCCATCACTGTCTGGTATGCTGGATCCGTCAGATACGTCAAGCTGCTGCCGGAGTCGAGGATCATCCCACCGCCTTGTGTCACATCCCACACTTTCATAGGTATCTCCAACATTTTATCATCAATGGAGATTCCCCTAACATTTACGCCATAAAATGGAACGAGGGAATGGAGTTCAAGCGTGGTGTGGCGAGCATTGCCCGAAAGTTTCACTTGGTTCCGATTCATGCCGAAGGTGACGTAACTAGCGGCACTTATATTGCTCAAATGATCAACGAGACAATAAGAAAATTTCCCACCAAATTTCTCAGCAGCATATGTTGCAAAAGAATGCTCTGTATTGCCCAACCCCAAGAGACCATCGACGTTGTCGAAAATTGTACCTTGGTACGAGTCACTGCACCCAATTAGCACGTTACGGAGCCTCGTTTTTCTACCGTTGGTAAGGCCAACAGTGACGGTCTCGTCAGCAAATACTCCCCTGGTAGCTGACCCATCCGCATAGCTGTTCCATGACAATTAAAATTAAGACAGACAAAAAATAGATAAAATCAAAAACCAATTCGCTAATCCAGATATTATTTATGTTCGGTTTAATTTTTAATTAATAAGTTCAAAAATTACGATTATTCGAATAGAGCAAAAAATCAAACACGTTTGTCCACTGCCACCAGGAATTGCTGGCTTTCCCAAAAGCAGGCCCCACGACAGGACTTAATGTCCTGTTTCGGTACCAAATTATTTTGGGTCATGTGAACTTTACCTACTAATAATAACTACCACTAATATCTTTGTGTTGGATGGAGTTAAGATAGCAATATATGGGTGATTGTATCTGCAGCCACCCAGCCTCATCTGCTAACTCTACCAGTTACCATTTATTCTCGGATCTACAAATAGTTTATATCTTGTATGTCTGTAATAACGATAAATACGATTTCAGCTACAAACGTGCTCCAAAGATCTCAATTTCCGAATCCATATTAATTATAGGTGGGGTTTAGCCTTGTCTAATGGTTGGTGCTCTGCATTTAAGCCAAACTACAAAAGAAGCCATAGACATAAATACCAGTGAGCCCTAAATGCAAGCTATTAACTCCCCCCAATAGCATTTACCTTCACCCATTTTGGAGGTTGTATTATTGTAAACCCAATATTCGAAATGTCCGGAAACATATACTTATATTCAGACACTCACCGGAATTAGGTGAATTATTACCAACATTGTATTCACTAATTCCATTTAATATGCATACAAAATCGGAAATTAATTTGACTTAAGATGAGAGATTAGGTACCCGTAATCATAAGCACAAGGAGTAAGTGGAGTAGGGCATATTGAAAGTGAGAAGAGAGTCATGAGCTCAACTTTACACCTCTCCGAGCTGCAAGGAACCGGGCTAAAGGAAGAAGATAAAGGAGCATGGAACACCCTCTTTCTGTTTATCCTCCCCTTTTTGGTACAATCACCGGAGCGTTTCGAGCATCGATACCGACATCGGACCGACGTCAAATCGCTTCCAGTGTCGACGATCACCCGGAACATCTGCGACGGTGTCCCGACTCTAAGCGTTGTAATGTACTGTCCAATCCCGAGATCACTACCAGCTTTAAGCGGCATTTCGACGGAAGCCGCGGGCGAAACGGCTTCTTCGGCGGCTCGTCTCCGGGTTCGCAGTCTGTGGGAGGTGATGTTGTGGCGGATAATGTCATGGTGGAGAAGGTCCTTGAGGCGTTCGTGCTGAGCTTTAGGCTTCCTGTCGTTGTTGAACTGATAAGCATGCCTGTGTATTAACTCCAATGAGAAGGAATTGGAATAGTGCTGCATTTCCTCCGCATAATGTTGAGCTTCAACAATGGCGACCAATACGATCAAAGGGAGCAAAATGATGAGTTTCCCCTTCATGACTTTATGCCGACTGAGAAACGGAAGGAAACAAACGAAAAGGAAAGATCGAGAGAGAAGGGAATAAAATTACAAAACAAAGGCTATTTTGATTCTCATTCATACATAATATATATATATATACACTAACAAACAAAAGAAGGCTATATATATTTGAGCCTCATATGGTTTAAATCTGGCATTAGGAGATTGATTAGGTTGTGCTTGCTTCTTGTAATAAATAACATATATATTGTTGTTGCTCGAAGCCTTCAGCCACACAGACATCCCATCCCACTTCTCGTTTCTATGTGGATTTTTCTCTCTAATTAATAATTGGTCAGTTTTTAGTTTTGGTCACTCTAGTACGTTAAAAATTATAATTTAATCTTTGTATTTTAATTTGACATAGTTTAATCCTCAATTCTTATAATTTTGCCACCGTTAACTATTCCTATTAATGAACTAGTTATGGATGGTATAGGGTCAAGTTTTACAGATGAAATTTGGATTTTGAGTGGAGTTAGGTTCGAGATTACGGAGAATTTACCCCATCATGAAGTAATTATGAAGATATCCCTTGTATGTATTTACATATTATTAGTCAGATTTTGGTAGAAGTATATGTAAAATATTAACATATTAGGTACTAGAATTTTGATATTAAATTACACTTTTACTTTAATTTTATATTATTAATTAATTAAATGATTATTTTATTTAATTGTTTTTTTCTTTTTTGATAAAATTTTATGTGAAAAATTAAAAATTATGTTAAATTACGTCGATTTAGAATTAAATTTCTAAATAAATTGTTAGTTTATATCTAGATAAATAAAAATGATTTTAAATTTGGGTCGAGGTCTAGTGTTATTATTATAATACCAAACTAAAGTCGACTAAAATTCTACACGAGTATCTGTTTAGAACTTTCTTAACCAATTGAAAACACGCAAACACATTAAACGCAATTGCTATGATCCAAGACCTTTAGGGAAAACAACATTTTCTTTTACAACTAAGGCTACTTGATGAGTTTAGTAACAAATGATTTTAAAAAAAATCATATGAGCAATTTAATTAGAATAATCTATGGTGATTACAAAGTAATATATGTTTAAAACTTTCTTAATCATTGATGACACACACTCGTAAAAGCAACTGTTTAAATTTATGATATTTAGGAAGAATAATATTCTTTTTAATCACCGAGGCCATTTGATGAATTTTAATTATAATAATTAATATGTTAATAATTTGAATCTACTAATAATATTATAAGCATATAGAATCAAACTAAATTAAATTAGAGTAAAAAGCAAAAACCTTAAATTTTAACATAATATAGGATCAAATTCAGAAAATTGAGCATTAGTTATTATGTAAATTATTCTGGCAAACTAACTAATTTCGAAAAGTTGAATTTATCTCATTATATACGCAACTACGCCGCCTGCCTGCCTTGTCTCGTTTATTATTGGTTGGATTCCAACGGCTGTCTCAAAATTCAACCCCCTCGCTGTTTACAGTAAATTATTGTATATTATGCTCAGATAATGGGATCATGGACAAGATCATAGAACAAGATAAATAAATAATTCTAAGATGACATGAAAAGGAAAATTGTAAATAAATAAAATAGAGTAAAAAGTCAGTAACGCGGCGGACTTTGCGAACGCACCGAGCTAGCTGGCTGCATTTGGACGGTTGCTCTTTCATTTACACCTCTTCCCTAATATAAAATTATTATTTCTGTCAAATTAAGTGTAACAAAATAATTGGATTATTTTAAGCTATCATTGTGATATAGTACATATATAAAAATTAGTAGACCATTATTCTCATATGTAATATGATAAGAAGAGGTAAGATAGTAGGATTCCCTTAACGTCAGGTTGAGAGTAGTTTCTGTGGGAGACCTCCAAATTATAAAATGCCCTTCGTGGAACTCGATCCCACGATCTCAAGGTTAAAAATTTTATGCTCTACCAACTAAACTAGATGGCCATTTTATGATATAGTACATATATGTGTATAATTAATCTCTTTACTATATGATTGAGTAATTTAAATTTCAGATGTCATTGCCCAAATATATGCATTCCTATGAGGGATTGCCATGTATATAACCTTAGAGTGTGTAATATTCAACTCGATTTGAAAATCTATCTTTTCAATTCGGTTCGATTTAATTCAAAAAAAATTGATTATAATTAATTTTTAGTTGTAATTTCATAAATTTGATTCGTTTTTTTTTAATTTGAGTCGAGTTATAAAATAGAACTCAAATAACTCAAACAATAATTTGAATAACTCAAAATTTATGGTAATTAATTGATTGATTTTCAAGTTTGAATTGAGTCCCTCGACTCTGAATGATATATATATTGCATATGGAAAATCTTTAACTGAATTAAAATAATGATTTCAGTAACAAAGTATGATATATTTCAAGGGACTCAAGTTCGAGTAATATTATTTGTAATATGTGTAAATTGTATTCAGATTTACACATATTATCATATAATAACATTAAAATGTTAAAAATGTTTTGTCTTCAATTAATCAATAAAATTAACAACTTTGTAACGTCTTTCGTTATAGGCGTATTACATTTGAAGAATGGATGTTAGAAGATTGTGCTAAATTAGGGACCTTTTTGAATGCGAGTGAATATTGGAAATTAATTATGAGAAATTTGAACTTTTACAGGGATGTATTATGTAAATTTCTCATTTGGAGTTAAGTTGTCCTTGTGCGTGTTGAGCCTTTCCTTTGTCATCTCTCCTGCAGCTCAATTTTGTGAAGAAAATAATGATCGAATGAGTTTTGAGTTTAAGTAAAACCCCAAAGTATATAAACACAAGAGAACAACAACAACAACAACAACAACAAAACCCAATTCCTATATGTATGGGGTAAGGGGAGGTAGGGTAGTAGGCTGCCCCCAACGCCAGGTTGAGAATAGCTTCCGTGAAAGACCTCCGGCAGTCAGAAAATTAAAAATATAGATAAAATGCAATGCATGTATAAATAATTACATAAATACATAGCTAAACAGTATTCATATGCAATCATTAATATCATATGTGCTTCTGTAATGGGGAGTAATCCCTGCAAAATAATCCCTGCGAAAGAATCTCTGCATATAGACAGAAACATAAGACCGACTAAATTTAACAGAGGAAACATGACGAGAATGATACACAGAAGACAATTATAGCAAGCCCAGTTCTAATCTTTCATAAATACCAATAACAGAAAAGTATAAAAAGTAAAAGTCATGGAAATTACTACAAATGCATTTAAAAGAAGACAAAGATGATACACCCTATAGATGTGACCCACACTACTCGTCTACCCTAGTCTTAAGCCTCCATAATTTCCTATCATAGGTCATGTATTCGGTAAGGCCTAAATCCATCAAATCAGATCTCAAGCAGTCTTCCCACTTCCGCCTTGGTCGTCCTTTCCTTCTGGCACCGTCGACTGTAATCGACTCTACCCTCCTGACCGCATCCGACGGTAGTCGCCTAAGGACATGCCCAAACCACCGTAGTCTTCCCTCCCTCAATTTTTCGGAAACAGACACCACCCCTAAGGACATCCTAATAGCAGAGTTTGTCGTCATATCCCACAGAGTCCTACCACATGTCCATCGAAGCATTCTCATTTCTGCGGCCTCTATCCTCCTTACGTGATCCTTCTTGGTTGCCCAACATTCTGATCCATACAACAGCGCTGGTCTTATTGCCATTCTATAAAATTTTCCCTTAAGTTTTAGAGGCACCTTCTTGTCACACAAAACTCCAGTAGCGGCTCTCCACTTTAGCCATCCCGCCTTTATACGGTGTGTAACGTCATCATCTACACCCCCATCTTTATGTATCATAGACCCTAAGTACTTGAAACAATCCTTTGAGGGAAGAACGTGTCCTTCTATGCATACTTCTACATCTTCATCGTTTTGGTTCCCATTGAAGTTTGAACATAAATACTCTGTCTTTTCAATATTGATCCTTAAACCTTTTTCTTCCAAAGCAGTCTTCCAGTGCGGATTTAGCGTAAGAGGTTTTGAGTTTAGGGATTCGTGTTTAATCTAATTGAGTTAAAAAATTAAATTTATAAAATTTAAGTCTAATTGAGTTATTTGAGTTTTATTTAAATTTAATTATAAATATTTAAAATATTATAATACTGTTTGATTCTAATTTAAACGATTTTGTATAATTATATACAATATATATATATATATCTTTGTTTTTTAAAAAAAAATTATGTTTAATTTTGTATAAAATATTATTTTTTACGTAAAAATCATTGAAGATCATCCAATATCAATTATAAATATCTAATATCATTGTCAAGATTAAATCAATAGTTTTGACAGTCTAGAGAGTTGATAACGTGGACACATGTGATTGAAGAGAGACAGAAGCAGAGAAAAAAAAGGAATATATATATTTCTAGTCTTTGGATTCCTTTATTTTTCTCTCAGTCTACAAATTTTGACAACGATGGTGATTACATTTAATATTATGCAGTTTCTTACCCCAACTAGAATGATATCATATCTGCTTATCATAAAAAACTGGTCGCATATATTTTGATTTATATAAATATTTTTTATCATTATTTTGTTACTTAACTTTTTTGGTTTAATTTATTTTCTGAAAATTTTGAATCGTGATATATATTATTTTAATTTATTTTTTTATTATAAAAATTTAGTGATACTTAAAAAACATACAACATGACATATAATATATAATTTTAAAAATATAAAAAACTCATATTTTTAATTTAATAAATGGATAATTCTTTTTCATTTTTAAGGTTTTCTTTTTTGAAAAAAATTCAAATTTAATATATATATATATTAAATGATAGTTTCATATAATGTCACATGAATTTTTTGTAGTATATATATATATATATATATATTGAAGTATCGTACATTATGATTAGAAGTTTTAGGGTCAAACTAAATTAAAAATTTCTTTAAATACTAAAATAATAAAAAAATACAACTGGATCAAAATATCATTTAACCTTAAACAATAAAAATAAAGCAATAAGATAATTTACGATAT